GGGAGGGAAAGGAAGGTGGCTGGAAGTGGAAGCAGAACTTGGGGCTTCCCAAAAGAATGAGAACTGGGCTGGCCCAGATCCCAGTGGGAAGTTCCTGATGAAGGAGCTAAGTCCCTAGGGGAGGGAGAGGGAAAGGAGGGACCGAAACCAGGATGTGGGAAGTCTGTCCTGAGAGTCACGGGCTCTTGGTGCCACCCCGTCCCCACAACCGGAGCGTGACTTATCTCCCCTGTCACTTTTCAGAATTTAAGCACTGTTGGGACACCTTTGTGGACCACCAGGGACGTCCCTTCCAGCCCTGGGATGGACTAGATGAGCACAGCCAAGCCCTGAGTGGGAGGCTTCGCGCCATTCTCCAGGTGACGGCTTCCTCCCTCTGCCTGGTGCCCCATCGGCCTCCCCCTCCTCCCCTCTCCCCTGGGCCTTGCCTTCCCCTCTGCTCAGAGCCTCCTCTGGGTTCCCTGCTCCCCCCAGGGCGCCCAGCTTCATCCCTCCCTTTCCTTCTCACAGCCTCCCTCTCTCTCCAACCTCCCCTATCCCTCCCTCCTCTCCTGTCATTGTCACTGTCCCCAGGCCTCCTCCCTGTGCCCTCTTTCCACTATCTCACCTCCTGCTCCATTCAACCCCACTGCTCTTCCAGAATCAGGGAAACTGAAGGATGGGCCTCAGTCTCTAAGGAAGGCAGAGACCTGGGTTGAGCCTCAGAATAAAAGATCTTCTTCCAAGAAATGCAAACAGGCTGTTCACCACCATCTCCAGCCGCTCACAGACACCAGCAAAGCAAGGCGCTCCTGACCAAGTAGATTTTTTAAAAATCAGAGTGAATTAATTTTAATTGAAAATTTCTCTTATGTTCTAAGTATATAATAGTAAGATTGTGCTCAATATTCTCAGAATAGTTTTCAATTTATTAATGAAATGATTAATTGGCTTTGTATCTAGACTAATAAAACATTAAGAATCTTCCATAATTGCTTTGGCTCAGCAATTGTATCATGAATTGCAAGTGTTTACATAAACACTAGCAAATACAAAAAATTAGCCGGACGAGGTGGCGGGTGCCTATAGTCCCAGCTACTCAGGAGGCTGAGGCAGGAGGATGGCGTGAACCGGAGGATGGCGTGAACACGGGAGGCGGAGCTTGCAGTGAGCTGAGATCACGCCACTGCACACCAGCGTGGGCGACAGAGCAAGACTGTGTCTCAAAACAACAACAACAACAACAAGTTAGCAAATGTGTAGATGTCTTTCCTTGTGTAGTGGACCTGTAGCAGCGCAAAGGTCACACGACATCCCTCTGGAGCCAGAAAACTCAGCTAAACCTCACAGGAGAGGAACCTAAATGCAGACCCCACCCTCACTCACAGAGCCCCGGGCGCTGATTGGAAGGGCCAGGCCCAGCAGTAAGAGGACAGCCAGCAGCCGGTCTCCCTGTTGGAAAGGAGCCCCACAGGTGCAGGCAGGGGCCCTCCGGAGCAGCCCTGTGTCCACCCCTTCCTGATTCCACCCCCTAGAGAGGGAGCCCAGAGGAGGCCGTGGCTGAGACCCAGGACAGGGCCAGTCAGCAGAAGCAGCCCAGGAAGGGGGCAGGTGTCCAGGCTGGGCCCAGAGAGAGGGCTGGGGAGAGGAGCAGCCCAGGAGGCAGAGCCCAGACACTTGGGGAGGCCGACGTGGTGGATCATGAGGTCAGGAGATTGAGAAATATCCTGGAGAACATGGTGAAACCCCCATCTTTACTAAAAATACAAAAAATTAGCTGGGCGTGATGGAGCTCAGTCTCAGCTACTTGGGAGGCTAAGACAGAGAATTGCTTGAACCCAGGAGGCAGAGGTTGCAGTAAGTCAAGATTGTGCCATTGCACTCCAACCTGGGTAACAGAGCGAGACTCTGTCTCAAATAATAATAATAATAATAATGATAATAATAATAATGATAATAATAATAATAAAATTTGAATGTCAATAAGAAGTAACTTTTTAGTATATGTCCTAAATATTGAAGAAAAAACCCTCAGGAACCTAAATATTGTATATTTATTATTAGACATTATTAGAAAGCAAAATCCAACATTTATTTGGAGGGATTCACTTTATAAACAGGTTGTACAGGAGTACCATGATGACAAAGGCCCGGTGAAATTTGAGTTCACAGTACAAAATGCGCAAGGAAACATGAGCAAGAGTCAGCAGAAATGCTTCTGGGACAGTAGAATTACACTTTCAAGAACTTCTCAGAGGAATTTGGGTATACCTTATAAAAATATGTCTGATATAAAAACAAGAATTAAAAACATGACTACAGATTGAGAGATTGTTTCTGGGTAGATCCTGAAAAAAGATTCAAGTAGAATTTCTGGAAGTGAAAAATAAAATCATTGAAAAAAGAAATCCTTAAGGGATGAGTTAAAGAGCAAAACAGAACAACTGAAAAGCATTGATTTAGAAAGCAGATCTGGGCTGGGGCATGTTGGCTCACGCCTGTAATCCCAGCACTTTAGGTGGGTGGATCACCTGAGGTCAGGAGTTCGAGACCAGGCTGGCTAACATGGTGAAACTCCGTCTCTACTAAAAATACAAAAATTAGCTGAGCATGGGTGGTGACACCTGTAATGCCATCTACTCAGGAGGCTGAGGCAGAATGCTTGAACCCAGGAGGCAAAGGTTGCAGCGAGCTGAGATCGCACCACTGCACGGCAACCTGGGTGATAAGAGTGAAACTCTATTCCCAAAAAAAGAGAATGTAGATCTGAAGAAATTTCTCACAATGCAGAACAAGGAGATGAAGGATGGGAAATAAGGAAGAGAAGAGACATGAAGGATTGAGTAAAAACAGCTATATCTCAGTGTGATAGAGGATAAACAGAGAAAATTGGTGGTGGGCAATAGTAAAGAGGTGGTAGTAAAGAATTATCCATCCAGCCGGGGGCAACATGAAAACCCCATCTTACAAAAATAAGAGCAAAAATTAGCTGAGCATGGTGGTGCATGCCTATTGTCTCAGCTACTTGGGAGGCTGAGGTGGGAGGATCACTTGTGCCCAGGGAGGTCAAGGCTTCAGTGAGCCATGATCGTGCCATTCACTCATAGCCTGGGCAACAGGATGAGCCTCTGCCTCAACAACAAAAAAAGAATTATTCAGGATCCATGAAAAATAAGACTATTCAGATTTGGAAATCACAGGGAACACCAAGCAGAATTTTTTTTTTTTTTTTTTTTTTTTTGAAACAGAGTTCTGGTGTTCAAGAGATTCTCCTCCAGCCTCAGCTTCCCGACATAGCTCGACTACAGGCATGCACCACCATAAGCCTAGCTAATTTTTTTTTTTGTATTTTTAGTAGAAAAGGGATTTTGGCTGGCCAGGCTGGGCCTCTGAACTCCTGGCTCTCAAGTGATATGCCCACCTTGGCCTCCCAAAGTGCTGGGACTATAGGCATGAGCCACCACGCCCAGCCCCAAGTAGAATTTTTAAAAACACATTCCATATTCATGTATATCATATATATACATATCAGAATACCAAAGACAAAGAAAATATAAGGCAATAAGAATGAAAAGACAAATTACCTGTAAGAGAACTATAATTAATTTTAAGAGCAGATTTCTGAGTAGCAACAATAGAAGCCAAAAAGTAAAGAAAAAACTGTCAGTCTAGAATTTTATACCTGGCTAAACTATCATTCAAGAATGAGGTCTAAAAAATTCAATGAAAATTGTTACTAAATATCTTCACTGAAGGAACATCTAAAGAATGCATTTTAGAAGGATATTCAACTCCAAAGGAAGAAAAAAGAAAGGCAAGAAAGAATAGTGAGTAAGCAGGTTGACAAATATGAGTAAAGAAAAGCAAATGCCTTTATAAAACAATAATGATAATAGTGAGCACTTACACCTGTAATCCCAGCACTTTGGGAGGCTGAGGTGGGCGGATCACTTGAGGTCAGGGGTTCGAGGCCAGCCTGGCCAACATGGTGAAACCCATCTCTACTAAAAACACAAAAATTAGCCAGTTGTGGTGGCATGCACCTGTAGTCCCAGCTACTCAGAAGACTAAGGCAGGAGAATCGCTTGAACCTGGGAGGCAGAGGTTGCAGTGAGCTGAGATCATGCCACTGCACTCCAGCTTCAGGACAGAATGAGACTCTGTCTCAAAAAAAAACAAAACAAACAAACAAAACAAAAGTGGAGACTGGGCACATGGCTCATGCCTGAAATCCTGGCACTTTGGGAGTCCAAGGCAGGAGGGTTACTTGAGCCCAGGAGTTCAAGACCAGCCTAAGCAGCATGGTGAAACCCATCTCTACAAGAAATAAAATTTGTCAGGCATGGGTGACATGCCTGTATTCCCAGTTACCTGGGAGGCTGAGGACAAAGGATTGTTTGAGCCCAAGTGGTTGAGGTGCAGTGATTCACGATTGTGCGACCGCACTCCAGCGTGGGTGACGGAATGAGACTTTGTTTCAAACAAAAACAAAAAAATGCGAAATAAAATTGAATGACAACTATGCAAGACGAAAGAGATGAACAGAGTTAAAGCTCTGTCTAGGAAGTGGTGAAGACGCTGATTAATTTTAGGTTTAAAAACCAGGCATCATCTCTCTTATCTGGTTTATTGCAATAGCTTCCTAACTGGGTCCCCTGCTTTTAACCAGGCCCATTTCTAATCTAGTTTCAACACAGCAGTCAGGGTGATCCTTTAAAAATACAGATCTTGTCATTCATCTGTCCCAAACCTGCATAGCTCCCTTAGGTCCATCATGTAAAAGCCGAAGTCCTTAGTGTTATGGTCCCTTCTACTATGATTCCCTTGGTGACTCAGCTTTAGCCACATTGGCTTCTTAATCAGTCTTCTCTTCAGCCGCAGTCCTTTGCACTGACTGTTCGCTCTTCCTCGATCACCTTTCCCTCAACATTTACTTGGCTTGCTCTCACTTTCTTTAAGTCTTTGCTCAGATCTTACTTCACAATGACACCTACCCTGACTACCCCATGTAATACCCTAACTCATCCCAACCTCCAACTCTTTTTTTTTGAGACAGAGTTTTACTCTGTCACCTAGGCTGGAGTGCAGTGGCATAATCTCGACTCACTGCAACCTCCGCCTCCCGGGTTGAAGCTTTTCTCCTGCCTCAGCCTCCCCAGTAGCTGGGACTACAGGCGCATACCACCATGCCTGGCTAATTTTTTGTATTTTTAGTAGAGATGGTTTCACCATGTTAGCCAGGTTGGTCTCGATCTCCTGACCTCGTGATCTGCCCGCCTTGGCCTTCCAAAGTGCTGGGATTACAGGCATGAGCCACCACACCCAGCCCAACCTCCAGCTTTGGTTCTCTACACTGACCTATTCTCTTTGGTTTTTTTGCCATACCAACCATCACCTTCTAATATGTAAAATTCATTATTTTTAATTTTTTATTTTTTTTGAGATGGAGTTTTACTCTTGTCACCCAGGCTGGAGTGCAATGGTACAATCTTGGTTTCACTGCAACCTCTCCCTCCAGAGTTCAAGCGATTTCTCCTGCTTCCAGCCTCCCGAGTAGCTGGGATTACAGGTGCCCACCATCAGGCCTGGCTTTTTTTTTTTTTTTTTCGTATTTTTAGTAGAGATGGGGTTTCACCATGTTGGCCAGGCTGGTCTCAAACTCCTGACTCAGGTGATCCACTCGCCTCCGCTTTCCTAAAGTGCTAGGATCACAGGTGAGCCACTCAAACTGCCTATAATTTATATATGTAATTTAAATATAAATTAACATATATAATTTAAATATAATTATAAATATAAATTAATATAAAATGATCTGTTGTATAAAATTATATTCTGACTACATAAAACTTATTTAGAAATTAAGAATTAAAAGTCTGGCAAGGGTGGGCACACGCCTGTAATCCTGTGCCATACACTTTGGGAGGCCAAGGCGGGTGGATCACGAGGCGGGTGGATCACAAGGTCAGGAGATAGAGACCATCCTGGCTAACA